GAGTATGGAGCTGGGAATAGCCCCTGAGCCCCACCGGGTATGACCCTCAACACCCACCTCCTGCCACCCTACCAAAAAATAAATAAATAAATAAAATCTGATCATTAGCTCCTTGAGTCTAAGATAGAGGATGACGGGGAAAAAAAAACAAAAAAAACAAAGCAACTGACTACTTGTGTTTTCCGGTTCCTTGGAGCCAAGTCACTGAGTATTTTCTGGAACTGGAAGCCACTTTCAGAAGTACCAAAAGAGAAATTAAGACAGAAGGCAGCAGCAGAAATAAAGGTGGAAATAGGGGAGCCCACCTCAGCTCGAGGCTTGAGTTTAACTGAGATTCCGACTGTTTCCCCTGCCTGCATTTGTCTCTAAGGTCAAAATCATGGCCGTCCCTGTCATGGGCTGTAACCTTAGCAGAGCTATTTATTTACTAGATGGTCAACTCTGGAGACACACGGAGTATGGCCAGTTGTGACTTCTTGCTCTAGCAGCTGATATACCGCTTTTCTGGTGGCTGATATTATTGTTTTTATTTTTATTTATTTATATTTGTTTGCTTTTTGGGTAACACCCGGCGATGCACCATTACTGAGGGCTAATGCACTCAGGAATTATTCCTGGCGGTGCTTGGGGGACCATATGGGATGCTGGGAATAGAACTGGGTTGGCCGCATGCAAGGCAAACGCCCTACCCGCTGTGCTATCGCTCCAGCCTTTATTACTGTTTTTAAAAAGGACTTTCCAGGCGGAAAGAACAAGGAAAGCAGCCAGGGCTTCAGCAGGGAAGAGCCAGAGGCCCATAGATAGTGGCACCAGAAGTGAGGGGGTCCTTCATGTCATAAGTCCTCTCAGAGCATAATTTAGGAATCAGAGAGATAGTACAGGGGGTAAAGTGCTGGCCCTGCACAGGGCTGACCTGGCTTTAATCCCCAGCACCGCATAGGGTCCCCTGAGTACCACTGGAAACCATCACTAAGCACAGAGCCAGGAGCATGGCTTGTGCACTGCTGGGTGTGGCCCAACTCTTTCCTCCCCAGAGAGCAGAATTCATGAGTGTGCTGGGGTCGTGTGGATTCTGGAGACTAGCTACAGCTGAACAGGGCCTCGAGGTCATCCCAGAGATGCTTGTCACTGGGAGAGCTGCCCACAATGCCACCAATGGAGACAACGGGCACACAGGATGGAGACCAAAAGGGGACCCATAGGCAGGTGATGGTGAACGATTAGCAAACACTGGGCTTCTCCCGAGGGTGGGGCATTCTCAGTGCTTCAGAGCCTGGCTCAGGCGGCCACACTAGGTGTGCCAGAGCCACCTATCTTGTCCCTTGTCCCATAGTCCTAAAGTGCCCGGAGTGTGAAACACTGTTTAACGACCCTGTCCCTTCACAGGGTACCCCCTGTCCCACATCTACCCTTGGGTTACTGTTGTATGAAGCGGAAGACAATTTGGAGCTTATTAGTGTCCCAGAGAGACATGTAACTTGTGTCACTGGGACCCAAACAGCAAGAGTCTTAGCGGCAAACTCCAGCCGAGAAAAGACCGAGCGATTGTCTCACCTAATTACGGGGAATGGCCCTCTTTGTGTTTGTGATTCGTACGGTTGTCCGATCGCTTTTGATCGCTTTTTTCTATGTGCTGGCTCAGGCTGGGCTGGAATTGTGCTAATTAGAAAAGAAATGGACAGAGTGATCCTGTCAGCCCCGGTTACTGGTGGGGACAAAGCAGAATATTATTTGGAGGCAGTGTTTTGTGAGAGCCCTTCTCCCGGCTCTCATTAGGCAGACGGGGTCTCCAGGAGGAGCAGGTTCCGAATGCCTGGTCCAGCTAATGGACACTGGGGTGCTCATGTGCTAATTAACAGGCTGTGCCAGCATGTGTGCCAACCAGGAGCCTCACAGTTACACCTGCTGCTTCCGGCGTCTCTAACTGCTCCCGGGCATGGAGATGAAATGTAGGACAAGGGTGGGAAGCCAGAGGCCTCTTTAGGCATCAAGGCGTACCTCGAGTGCCCCAAAGCCTAAGCAGAGGAAGTCAGCTCCAGGCCAGTTGGAACTCTCTAAACTCTTGGAGACGGCTGTTCGCGTGCATCCTGAGGGCGGGCGTGTAAGTCCTCGGGGTAAAATGGAGCCAGGCAGGAAGACTTCACGGACTCCAGTTCTCAAAGGACAAAACCAGAAACTAGGGCACACAGGCAAGTACTTGGAGATGGAGTCTACAGCTACCGTGTAATCTAATTGCCACGTTGACCCATCCCCACTGTTGCCTCAATCCCTGCTCTGCCTGCTGACTTTCCTATGAGGCCTTAATCCTGGCAGAAGCAGAATGCACCAGGGTGTTGGTTCCACTAGAAATGAAATTTCTTCACGTTACTTCAAAGCTCTGATGGAGCCCAAACACCCTTTGGAAACATGTTTGGCAATGGAACACTTTTCCGAGGCTCCATCTGCAACACCTGATTTGATTAGTCTGCAAGGCAGAGGAGCTTCAGTAAAGTGCACCAGGTCAAGAATGAAGTGCAGGTGCAGTGAGAAGCTCCGCTTACAAAATACGATGAACGGCGAACAGACAAAGAGAAATTAACAATGGCATTTTGCTATCAGTGCAATTCAAACCCTGCAGACCTCAGTGCTCTAACATGGGAAGGACAGCAAGCAAATCAGCCGAAGCCTGAAACCTGTGAGACCAAGTGAGCAAGAGAGGAAAAGATGTGCGGAAGTGCTGGAGAGATAGTACAGTGGGTAGGGCGTTTGCCTCACGTGTGGCAGACCTGGGTTTGATCCCCGGCATCCCATATGGTGTCTGTCCCAAGCTCCATTGGATGTGGCTCCCAAAACCAAACCAAATACCCCCCCCCCCGACTCCCACAAAAGAAAAAAAAGAAAGAAAAAAGATGTGAGTGAAAGTCTGGAAACTTGAACTACATATCAAAGCCAGGCTTTTCAGGCTGTGTCTGATACGTCATCACCAGAGGATGATGATGAGGGTCCTGTGAATGGCAAAGGGAAAGGGACAGCCAATCTCTGAGCAAATAAGAATAGTTTTTTTGTTTTTAATGACATACTTGTTGGTGTTCAGTGCTTACTCCTGGCTCTGTGCTCGGGGATTACTCCTGGAGGGCCCAGGGGACCCTAGGACGTTCCGAGGATTGAACTCCACTGGCCACGTGCAAGGCAAATGCCCTACCTGCTGTACTCTCTCTGGCCCAATTTATGAAGATTTAGAGCAGGGCATTCATAACCTGATGCTTTTCTAGATCATAAAGCTCTGTTGTCAACTAAAGCATTTGCTTAGAAAGCATTCTAAAAGTTGAGCCACATCCCAAGCCGGGCTGTGTAATATCTTTCTTTGACTTCACAGGGATCCCGCTCTCTCTGGAGAAGGAAGCTCACAGTTTTTCGAGTGTGTTTTCTTCTTTTTCCCTTTCACTAACATTTCATTTCAGAAAAAAGGAAAGAAAAAAAAAGAAAGCAGAGATGAGCCAGGAGCGCTAAGCATTTTGTTTTCTTTAAAATAGAAAATTTTGGGGGCTGGAGCGATAGCACAGCAGGTAGGGCGTTTGCCTTGCACGCGGCCAACCCAAGTTCCATTCTCAGCATCCCATATGGTCCCCCGAGCATTGTTGGAAGTAATTCCTGAGTGCAGAGCCAAAAGTAACCCTGTGCATTGCCGGGTGTGACCCAAAAAGCCAAAAAAAAAAAAAAAAAGAACATTTTCTCTAAAGGTCAGAGCAGGTAACCTATAGATGGGTGACAGCCGTGCTATTGATGATACTTTCCCTTCTCTAGTGCTTGCAGAGTTAAAGAGCTCACACCAATGGTTTTAATAGGTGGCAGAGAAACATTTCTTTTCAATCCATCACATTTACCTGGAAGTGTACAGACAGGTTTGGAATTCCCAGATCAAAGGAGACACTTAAGAACTAGATGAGCAGAAAGCAATTGTAACCTGGAGAAGCTTAACATTAAGCAGGGCGGAAAGACTGTACAAAGATGGCTTAAAGAGTCAGAGAGTGGGTAAGAGTCCTAAGGCTAGAAAGCATCCGTGATGTCGGAATGCAGGGGGAAGGAAGAGAACTTCTACTGGAAAACATGGTATAGGAAGGAGAGGTTTTTTTTTTTTTTTTTGCTTTTTGGGTCACACCTGGCAATGTACAGGGGTTATTCCTGGCTCATGCACTGAGGAATTACTCCTGGTGGTGCTCAGGGGACCATATGGGATGTTGGGAATCGAACCCGGGTCGGCTGTGTGCAAGGCAAACACCCTACCTGCTGTGCTATCGCTCCAGCCCCAGGAAGGAGAGTTTGACCTGTACAAAAGGGATATGACTCTCTAGGGATTCAAGTGTGGAACTGGGAATTGCTCAGATATTAATTAATCAGAGTAATGACTTCCTATATGGGAGAGGAAGACGTCAAATGAGGTTGATCGGGATTCCATGGGAGCATTTTTAATGTCAGGATGGGAGATGCTGACCTTGTTAGCAAACACAGGCAGGTATTAAAGGTTTCTAATAGGTGACTGGTAGAATCCAGTGACATGGGGAGCCCAATTCCCTCATCTTCCACTGTGATATTAAGGGAATTACAGTGGAACTTTTTGATGAAATTTACACTTTAAATATACAACTTGGCTTTTATTTATTTATTTTGGTTTTTGGATCACATCTGGAAGTGCTCTGGGATTATTCCTGGTTCTGTACTCAGGAGTACTCTCAGTCTTTGACTGCATTTAGGGAACTATATTTGGCACCAGGGATTGGATCCAGGGTGATCGGCATGAGAGGCAAGTGCCTTTACCTCTATACTCTCTCTCTTATCTTTGTGGCCTCAACTTAGCTTTTGTTTTTGTTTGTTTGGATTACACCTGGTGGTGCTCAGGGGATCAAATGTGGTGCTGAGATTCGAACCAGGGTTGTAGACACAGATGCATGCTAGGCAAGTGCCTTAACCTTTGGACTCTTTTTCCAACCCCACGTTGGCTTTCTGAGAAAAACACTCTCCCATAAAAGGGATATATTTATTATAAGGACACAGAAATATACAAAGTACAATCTTCTAACACCCTGAAACACATATACACACACATTTTACACAGATTTATATTAATATAAAAATACATCATTGACATTTCTAAGGACAACAAATACAAACCCAATAAATATTGTAATTCTAAAACATCTACTTACATTAAGTGCTGGTGACAGTAAAAGGAAGAGGCTAAAGCAGACCAGAAAACCAACTAAGAGTTTCAGGTTATACACCAGTTGGTTTTGGAAGGTAGCCCAATATCCGTATTTCCCAATTTCCCCACGCACTTTGAAGAGTGCTTGGTGTCATCCACTTAAAAAATAGAGCAAAGGAAGGATTTGACACGTGGCACTATTCTCCCTCTCCTCCCCCTCCCTCCTTCTCTCAACCGCATTTAGAGATAAAGGAATGTTATTAATAAGATTATGTTAAAACCAAAGTCTCTCCAACCTAAACTTCTCTCTAGCAATCTGAGCAGAATGTATATCCATCCTTTGTGTTTCGTATACGATTTCCCCTCTTTCAGTAAGTAAAACTGCATGGGTGGTCATGGGTTCAAATGTCAGAGGTCAGAAAATGGGTATAAGTCATTAAACCAAGGATCAAAAACTTGAACACAACTTTTGTGTCCCAACACCAGTGAACTACTGTCTCAGGGGTCATCTTTTCAGAGGCTGAGAAACCCCCATGTACCTCTCAAGCATGAGATTGAAGGTGGCGTATAAGACAATATATGAAAATGTATAATAAATTTTACCTACAGACTGGATTTTTTTTTTTATGCTTTAACACAGAGACAGACAAATAACTGTCAGAGTTCTCCATAAGACTTTAGTTTAAGCCTGGAAATTCTGTTTTTCTTTCATGGTGTATAATAAACTCTCAGCTCTGTGTGGATATGGAGTCAAACATGGCGATCACCCACAGCACTTTCATTTAAAAGTAGAGTTTTCCATCAAATGGGGAATCCTGCAAGTCTCCGCCTTTTCCTAGCTTTCTGGCCATGACTTTCTGGATTGAATCTGTAACAGATGAACTGGAACTCAGAAATCCTTTCTGTTTTCCTTGAAGTTGGCCTTGAGGTCTAGTACCTAGTGCAACTGTTGCCTTTCACTATATAAGCTAATCTCAGGATGGACTCAATACACATGGTTCCATCTTCTTCCCTATGTCAGAACCAACAACGGGGGCTGGGAGGTACGGAAAGAAAGGAATTGGGGACAGGAGTTATCAGGACAGGGGTAGAATTTTAAAAACAACCTTCTTTACACTTCAAGAAGATCCTGGTATCTCTAGCTGGGGATTCTTGGAACCTAGTCCACACCGGAGAACTCTCTGGTCAGGCCAGAAGACCTGATCTAAAATCAAATCGTTCTCTGGTTTCCCTGCATCCTGCATACTTCCTAAGAGATCAAGTACCATTCAAAAGAACCCATCCAATCAACATGTCACAATGACTTTGCCATTGCTGAGCCAAATCGAAGGTGAGATCCGAGGATGCCTGAACCATTTCTAGAAACGAGAAAGCAGGACTTGGGCCTTTAAGAATGATCTGCCCCTGACCCCCTGCTACCAACATCAGAGGCCGAGAAGGGCGAAGTCTAGAAGCTGACTGAACAACTGCACTGATCCGTGAGTAGAGCAGATTCTTCTCTTGCTGCTGCCGCAAGTCCTCAGAGGCGCAGAGACCAGGAGCAAGGGAGAGGGTCGGTCCAGGAGGCGACCACTTGGCTCTACCGGGCGCGCAGATGCAGAGCGGCACTGCAGGATGTGCGGTTCCAGGCCCCAGGACAGCCTCTCCACAGCAGCTGCTACTTCTTCGGCTTCTCGAGAATGTTGAGGAACTTCCCCCGAGTCATCTCTCTGGCTGGAATCACAAAACAAATGCGAGATCAATAAAGACCTACCATTTGCAAAGGAGACCCCAGGAAGACCTCAGTACAAATTTAAACGCAGTTGGATTTAAACCAGACGGAGAGGGTCCCAGAGACCATTACGGGCTGAGCACACACTGTGCATGTGGGAGGCTGGGTTTAATTCCTGGCACTCAAAAGCCCCCCCAAGTACTGTGAGGAGTGACCCCGGAGCACCAAGAGTTGAGCAGATCTGGAGCACCACTGGGTCTGGCCCCCAAACAAAAGCAAGCCAACAAGAAAACGGGATATCAAGTTGCTCCCAAAATAGTTTCAATTTCTCTCTTCTCTCCCGGGTCATTTTCTCCCTCCCCACTCCCTTTCTCAGTGCTACCTAAATGCTCATGCTAACATCTCAGGGAGTCTGCTCTTGGGGTTTGGTCTTGGAGGTTGAAATGCAACCAAGATTAGAGTCTCCTCTGGATTGTTGGTCTCTGGTCATTTATAATCTCAAATCAAAAATCAGATATCATTTCTCCCCATCTCTCGCCAGTAGCTGGATTCTGTAATACAGCAGGGTTTATATTCCCTTGGTGCAGTTCAGCTGGGGTCGGTGTCATAAAGCACGGTTTATAGAGCTTTGGTCCTCTCTCTCTTGGCATTGTCAGTCCTTAGATATTTAATATAGCCAGGCAAGGTTTATGTTGCTTTCTCCGACTTTCTGCATCATCAATCTCTGGAAGCTATAGTTACAAGAGAGTTTTTATACAGCTACTTTCCTACACGAGGCACCAAAATGAGAGTAAAACATTCCTCAATTATAACGGGTCACTCTAGAACAACCCCACTACCCCAACCTGTGGGAGCTCTGATAAACCAGTACTCAAAAATAAAAAAGAAGACTTTATGTTTCTTTTTTTTTTTGGGGGGGGGGTGGCAATCCAACTGTGTTCAGGGCTTACTTCTTAGGGATCAGTCCTGGTGGGGCTCTGGGGACTATATTAGGTGCTGGGCTAGAACCTTGGTTGGCCACTGTAAGGTAAATGCCCTCCTGACTGTACTCTCTGTCAAGCCCCACGCCCCTTTCCTCTCATGCCCATGAGGTCAGCTTCTCAGAGAGCATGAGTGGACCTGATTGTGCTGAAAGTTCTGATGAAGGGCTCTGGAACCCCGCAGAGCAGACTGTGTCTTACAACCTCCGAAGAACAAGCCTCAACTTGGCCAGCGTGGCAGAGCCCCACAGGGCTGAGGGGATGTCTGATCCGTATTTTTTTCCCCCTTTTTGGGTCACACCCGGCGATGCACAGGGGTTACTCCTGGCTCTGCACTCAGGAATTACTTCTGGCGGTGCTTGGGGGGACCATATGGAATGCTGGAAATCGAACCCGGGTCATCCGTGTGCAAGGCAAACGCCCTACCCACTGCGCTATTGCTCCAGGTCCTGGCCTGGTTTCTTTGCGGCTCCTCACCCCATCGTCACTGACACTGGACCATTCCAGGCAGTTTCCAGCTTTGTTCAAAAGGGATGAACTGTGTAACCAGGGGAAGGTTCGGGAGCTGCTGGCTGTTCACTGCCCACATTCACAGAGCCTGAGCCCCAAGAGAGGGCAAAGAAATCTCATGAAGCCAGGATGGAAACCCCAGTGCTAGGTCCTTCCTCACAAGCCCACCCAGGCTGAAATCAAACTGACCATTCTTTTCTTGGCGGATTTATACCACACGCAATACACGGAAAGTTCTAAAGACTTGCAATGATTTGTTTACGGAGCTGTCTTCCATTATTCTTTATATCACCAGCCCCTAGCATGGTGCCAGACCTTATCTACTGGGTAAGTGTTGGCTGAATGAATGATAAGATACAAAACCAAAACCAAGTAACAATACAGAAAGTTCCTCTTCTTTCCACAGACCAAGAATAAGCTGTGTTTGTGACACAGAATGCTCCATTCTCTACTCTGCATTGTGGGATTCTTTTTTTTATTCTTTCTTCTCTGTCTCTTTTTGGTTTTTGGCTCACACCTAACTGTGCTTATGGCTTACTTCTGGCTCTGTACTCAGGGATCATTCCTGGCAGTGCGCGGGGAATCATATGTGATGCTGGGGCCAGCCACATTCATGGTAAGTGCCTTCCCCACTAACCTATTTCTCCCTGCCTTTATTAAGGACTATAAACACAGAATCAGATAATCCTACAACATGGTAAGAAGCAGGTGCCCAGGAAACCAGACATGGGTAATACAAAACTCTGCTGGGAAGGAAGCAGCCTTATTCCCCAAACCATGAACCGGCAGTGTTATACTGATCTTATTATTTCTGCATGTTGCTCTTCAGATTCACCCCCGCATCTCCTCCCCCCAACTCTGAACTACTGATTTTCCTAACTGGGAGAATGACCAATATTTAAAGACTTAAAATACAAAAGGATCCAATCTATTCAAGGGATCAAAAGGATTTAAAAGGGAAAATAAAAGGATATTCCAAAGTCTCTCAGGGGCAAGCTCTCCTTGAATTTAACCAATCCCTTTTAACAACCCTTTTCCACTCAATCATTCCTCCCCCTTCAACCTAATCTAAGTACACAGAGCTGCAGGAAACCACCGTAAAAGTAGAAGTAATTCAAAAGACATCATCTTCTACATGGGAGGGGAGAAAGTTTTCCTACTTGCCAGTCCCATATAGGAGATATACGAATTGGTGACATAGCTGCTCCCTAAAAGAGGGCCGTGCCCGATAAATCACATCCTAAGCACCAACCCCTTTTTGTGCACGGTGAAATTGCTGTGGGTCAGGGGCTGCGCCAGCGCACGTGCCCTCCTGTTCACTTGTCATAAGAGATGTTAACATCTCTGATTAATTCATAGACCCCTTATTTGATTCCTCATTTCTTTACCCTGCTCTCCTGCTCTGCTGCCATGTGAAGACTCTTACCGACCCGCTACAGTAATCACCACCCACTCACTGCACCCCCCCCCCCAAACCTAGTGAAATTGTTTAGTGATGCCAACCGCGCTTTTAATTTGCAAGACATCAGACACAGAGGTAATTTATACCAACATCTGTTCATTTTTGACTTCTGAAACAAACTCGCACATGCTGCTATAAAATCCCATTAGGAGTAGGAGACAGCCTTCTGCTACTATTCTGGATTCCTCTTCTATGCGCGCGAGCACACACACACACACACACACACACACACCCTTCCAAACGGAGTTTTTTTGGGGGGGAGGGTGTGTCACACCTGGTGATGCTCGGATCATTCCTGCAGGGGTTCTGGGAATCATACGGTGCTAGGGATTGAACCCAGGTCAGCCACATGCAAGGCAAGTGACCTACTCACTAGACTATTGCTCCAAACCTCCAACAGTTTTTTTTAAATGTAAATGCACTTTATTAAGTAATTCCCACCAAGGATTTCAAGTCTTTGAAACCTTTAGAGATTGCTATAGCTTATTTACAGGAGAGGTAAGTATTTCTATTTCCCCTGCCCTTTTCCAACCCTTCTTCCCAACAGTGATGTCTTGGTAGAATTTAACACCAATGGCCAGGTTAAGAATGCATTCTTGGGGCTGGAGTGATAGGACAGCGGGTAGGGCGTTTGCCTTGCACGTGGCTGACCCGGGTTCGATTCCTGGCATCCCATATGGTCCCCTGAGCACCCCTGAGTAATTCCCGAGTGCAGAGCCAGGAGTTAACCCTTGTGCATCTCCAGGTGTAACCCAAAAAGAAAAAAAAAAAGAATGCATTCTCGAGGCTGGAGTGATAGCACAGTGGGTAGGGCATTTGCCTTACACGCGGCCAACCCGAGTTTGATTCCCAGCACCCCATATGGTCCCCCAACACCACCAGGAGTAATTTCTGAGTGTAGAGCCAGGAGTAACCCCTGTGCATTGCCAGGTGTGACCCCAAAAGAAAAAAAAAAGAATGCATTCTCCTCAGTTTGGCATTTCTAGCTCCTCGTTTCTCTCGGAAATCTTTTCTTCCACCATGTGTTAGAAGATAAACCCAGTGACAAGAGTGCCAGGGAGAATTTCAGAGTCAATATAAGGGCTGGTGAGAAAGTAGAGCAGGTAGGGCACTTCCTTGCATAAGGCTGACCTGGATTCAACCCCAACATCCCATGTGGTCCCCTGAACACAACTAAGAGTAATTCCTGAATGTACAGCCAGGAGTAACCCCTGAGTATTGCTGGATATGGTCCAAAAACCAAAAAATAAACTAGCCCCCCCCCCCGAAAAAAAAAAGATTCATTACAAGCTGTTAACTATTTTCAAATTCTGGATGAATTCTCTAAGAATACAAGATCAAAGAGCAAGACCACAGTGCTACTCCTCTCTAATCATGAAGTCAAGAAGCAGCCCCTGGTCGGCGGCTACCGCTAGGTGCCCGGGACAGAAAACATGACCTTCACACCCCACCAGGACTGACAGTCCTTCCTATGCGACATCACCTGAGAAAGCCATGACTGCCTGTCACCAGAGGGTGGTCATGCGAACTAGTGCTGAGTGGGAGAGAAGGGACTTTGTGAACACCACCACAACAGCATACGGATCAACTAAGGTCAAGTTTCAGCTTTCTGCTGCTTCTGTAGCCCTACCACTGTTTCTTTTCTTTTTGCTTTTTGGGTCACACCTGGCGATGCACAGGGGTTACTCCTGGTTCTGTACTCAGGAATCACCCCTGGTGGTACTCAGGGGACCATATGGGATGTTGGGTATCGAACTGGGTTGGCTGCATGCAAGGCAAATGCCCTACCCTCTGTGCTATTGCTCCAGACCCAATCCACCACTGTTTCTTGAGGGCTGTCTGGTTAGAGGTGGCCATGACTGCCAGAGCCTAGTCTGAGGGTGCTGTGTGCTTTACTAAAAACAAAAAATGCTGGGGGACCAGAGCAACAGTAACAGTGGGTAGGGAATTTACCTTGCACATGTCTGACCTGGGTTTTATCCCTGGCACCCTGTATGGTCCTCTGAGCACCAGCAGGAGTAATTCCTGAACGTAGAGCCAGGAATTACCC